CCAATAGATAAAAGAAAACAAAACTTTTGTTAAATAGGACTATGGTCTAACGTATAACGTATTATATTACCTATATTTCACAATACGTGCTAATCCTGTAAATTCGTATCCGCACCCTAATACTTCAAATGTTTTGTTATAAATAAACAAGAAAAAAGATAGCTTAAAAAAAAACTGAAAATTAATATCGAATTTTGATGGTAATGATAGTGGGAGTGGAAACTAACATCTAACACCACCCCGCCTGGCTTAAATATAAATTCGTGCTCCTTCTCTCAGATTCTTAGCTTAATTAATTTTCGCTTTACTGTTGATATTTTGAGAATCGTCTCTTTTGTGTAGATTCAGGAGGGACTGTATAATAAAACCTTTGGTGTAGCCACCATTATCCGCAACAAAAAACCCACCAGTTAGGCTTCACTATGGCACAACACAGGCAGATCACCGCCTTCGGGAGCGGTCAGTCTGCCAATGCCAGAGTCGAAAATATTCGAGGCCATAAAAGACATGCACGCATGACGAAGATAGATAACGAAACCGACGATACTGATCAGATCAATTTATTAGAGAACGGTCCCGGTTGCCGTTCATCGAACGCCAGTTGCATGGGAGGCAACTTACAATTTTAATAGACACAGGGGCGGCGAAAAACTACATCAAACCCGTAAAGGAGCTTAAAAATGTGGTGCCGGTCGAATCCCCTTTCACGGTTAGTTCAATTCACGAACGAACAAGAATTGTTGCATATAGTGTGGGTGTTGGGCAAATTACAATACTATTACAGATATTACAGGCACTCCTGGTATCAATATTTATACAGACCACCAACCTTTGGCATATACGGTGTCTGATCGGAATCCGTTTCCGAAGATAAAAAGATGTAAAGCGTATATCGACGGTCATAACGCAAAAATCCACTACAAGCCGGGTGGAGAAAATCAGGTGGCCGACGCTCTTTCCAAGTAGAATATTAATGCCTTACAAAGAGAGCCTCAGTCTGACGCTGCGACTGTTCACAGTGCGCTTTCGCTGAACTACACGGTCGAAACGACAGAGCAACCATTAAACTGCTTCAGAAATCAGATTGTTCCATAAGAAGCACGTATCCAACGTAAACGAAGCTTAGTGTTATTTCGTAGAAAAACCCGCCATGACAAGAGCAATATTCTAAAAATGCTTAAAGAGGTCGTGAACCCTGAAGAAGTGAACGCGACACACTGCGACTTGCCCACAATAGAAGCGAATAATTCGAAATTATCACTGCAGAACACAATAGGGCGCACAGGGCAGCTCAGGAAAACGTCTAGCAAATCCTCCGTGACTATTACTTCCCGGAAAATAAGCAGCTTATCGAAAGAGGTGGTTGTAAATTGCAGGGTCTAAGTAGTACGGGTCTTAGGCCAAGTTTGACAGGCACCCAAAAAAGCAAGAGTTTGTGGAAACGTCCATATCTAGTTACACTGGCGAGATGTTACACATTGACATTTTTTTGACAGATAAGACGTGTAACGTGTCACAAGTTCTCTAAACTCGCAGTGGTATTACCGGTGCAATCCAGAACGATAGTGGATATCATAGGGCCTTTGCTTCTAGTAAACTTGTTCCCAAAAATCAAAATAATTGGACAATGAAGCCGCCTTCAATTCCATCAATTCACCTCTCTACTAAGAAATAACTACCAAAATTAATATCGTGAACGCGGCCCCACTACACAGCTCACCAAATGGTCAGGTGGAACGGTTTCACAGTACCGTGTTTTTGAGGTAGGAGAAGAAGTATTTGTCAAGAACAATAAACGGTTAGGGAATAAGTAACCCCACTATGCACGGAACAAGAAGTGCCAGCAGACCTAGGAACGTCTTTTCTTATAAAGGACAGGGGGTCCATAAGGACAAACCCAAATAGGTTTCCCAAATCATAATTAAATAGAAAGCCAGAGAAACGTGAAATTAAGTCGTCTCACTCTACGTTTGGATTATAGGTTCACCCTCATAGCACACATCACCTTACCAGTGACAAATGCAAAGATTATCGACTTTTCCCAGGCCAACTAAATCCCGGTCGTAGACGGAGATGTGCTGGTGCTCGAACGACTCGAGCAATCTTTCCGAGTTCACGGATATGATAGAAGAGACAGAGAAGTTGTCCCAGCATTTTCCGCAGTCGCATATGCGCAAATTATTAGATGTTGACATAGGGCACCTGAAAACTTTGTTGTCCGTTATCTAAGTACACCATGGAATTGCGAGAAGGTTTTTGGGAACAGCACTTAAAGTGGTCGCGGGCACACCCGACGCCTCAGACTTTTTGAAAATTAGGATGACAGCTGGTAGAATCGAAGTCAAGGCAATCACAATTAACTCAGAAACTCAGAAAAAAATAAATATACTAACTGGCACTATAAATAATATTATCAGAGTCCGCAAGAACGATTGTGTTGATACTCCACATCTGTATGAGACACTTCTAGCAAGAAATAGAATGCTGACAACAGAGATTCAAAATTTAATCCTCACTGTAACTTTGGCCAGAGCAAGCACAATAAATCCTACACTTCTGGACCATCCCGATTTGAAACCAATTATTTAAGAAAATATTCCAGTAGTTAGTTTACTAGAAGCCACAAAAATTAGGGTCCTTCAGTCCGATGATATAATTCATGTCTTAATAGCTTATCCCAGAGTTAGATTCAGATGTAAGAAAGTCTCCGTCTACCCGGTATCGCATCATCAGGAAATCCTACGGCTTGACGAGGGCACGTTGGCAGAGTGCGAAGCGGACACCTGGGCAGTCACGGAATGCACGGAGACCACGCACAATACCTTTTGCGAGCGGTCCAATCGCGAAACCTGCGCCCGTTCACTACACGCAGGAAACACGTCCCAATGCCATACTCAACCAAGCCACCTTAGGGAGATAACGGTCATCATTAACGAGGCAACAGCACGCGTTAGCACGAACGGCGGATTGGTTCGTGGCTGGAGCGTTGCTGAATGTTTTCCTTAAGGAGAAGGTGAGCCTCCGCTGAAATACAGCGAGCGATTGTAAAGATTGGTACGACCGAGAACGGACATAGAACCTAGAGGGTGGCTAGTTAACAACTAGTAATATGTTTGCCCTAGCAACTAAGTAGATCTTTCTAAAATGCTGATGCGCCCAAATCAAGTTCAGGGCTCCGCGCTAAGAACGGACAGCGCTGAATAAATGCTGAGGCTTGCCGACCATGAATTCATGGCGTGATGCATTGGAGCTAGGGAAAATTCATATTTTCCCATTTCTCTGTATTCAGTCCTAAGCAAGCACTTTAAGAATAAAGAATAGCAACTCCGGCACTTCGCCGTAAAATAAATTTGTTCAGTATAAGTCATTCTCGCTGAGCCAAAGGGCCAGTGCTTACCAAAAGTGGTTAAGTCACGCCCTCCACCATAATCATAGTAAGAAGTCACCCCACATGGATAAAACCTGGACTAGGGAGACCAACCTATTAACGTAGTTCTTATCTGCCGGAGATACTAAATGGATGACAGTTCTTTATATTATTGATCAGGATCAATAGCAGAGTCAATCTGGCCATGTCCGTCTGTCCGTCCGTCTGTCCCTCTGTATGAACGCCTTGATCTAAGGAACTATAAAAGCAATAATGTTAAGATTAAGCAAGCAGCTTCCAGAGACATAGACGCAATGCAAGTTTGTTTTTAAATGTTACCATGCCCACTCTAACGCCAACAAACCGCTTAAAACTGTCATGTCACTTTTAAAAAATTTGTAAGTTTACTTTAATTTTATTATTTTTTTCCCAATTTTTACCGATACTACAGATCTGGAAATCGATCTGGAAATGTCCGTCTGTCCGTGTGGTCGTCTGTCTATCCGTCCGTATGAACGTCGAGATCTCAGGAACTATAAAAGTTAGAAAGTTGAGATTAGGCACGCCGATTCCAGACACATACACAGACGCAGTAAAAGTTTGTTAAGTGATGTTGCCACGCCCACTCTAAAACCCAAAACTGTTACGCCCACACTTTAAAAAAATGTGATATTTTTTCATTTTTTTATATGCCTTGAAAATTTCTATAGATTTGCCTAAAAACTTTTTGGCACACCCACTCTAATGCCCAAAACTGTCACATTTTTTAAGTTTTTTTCGGGTCAGTTTTTTTACGCTCATCAATCAGCTCCAACCTCACATGAAGAACGCACTTGTGTCACAAAATTGATGTTGGCTTGATAAGGTGTCCGTCAAACGTTCCACTCTATTATACATTGCAGTCGTTTTGCGTTTTAAAAATGTCAACCTGTTTGCAAAAGGGGAACGTTTCCAGAATGTTTCAAATGTTACAGAAAAGTTTTGTTGCACATATAAAATTTCAAGCTTTAAAAAATCAGTAGGTATTCTCTATGCACAGATCACATCGGGATCACAAAGTGTTTTTTTTTATAATTAAAAGACGATTATACTTGTTATGATTTTCAAATTTAATGTATTTTAGAAGTGTATGCATAGGTTACAAAAGCGAATGACAAGAGAGACCAAAAGTGCAAGCGCGAGGGTACACGGGAGATTGAGGTTGCTCTGGTAGTGCTGTGGAGCATAATTCTGTTTCCAAAGTTGGCAAATTTACAACAAATCAATTTTAGATGCTGCGACTCCCCACCCATTTTCTATAAAATACTCAATTTATTGGTCGATGAAATTTTTGTTGCCAACGAACCTTGGCATTTTTCAGCGTTGGTGGGCGATAAAGCTTTTTGCAGTTTGTGGACATTACAGTCGATAAAAAGTTTACAAGAAAAGTAAAAAAATAAAAAAACAATACATTTTTATGAAGTGTGAGCGTTCTGAGTCTAACTTGCATAGCAGACGTCAATTGAAACTACATGCTTAATTTCAACTTCTTGCTGAGCGTCGTCCATACGAACAGACAGACGAATAAGGGGTAACAAAATATTTTAAAAAAAGGTTATGGCATTTGTGAATGTTGGAAGAGTTGAGTACATACCATCATAGTCCTTTATAAATTTAGCATTAGCTTGTTGTCTTTGAATAGTGAGAAACTTTGGTAAAATGTTCGGTACAATAACATGCTCATTGGTAAAATTGGCAGACATAAGTCTAATTAGCTTATCCCTTGTTTGTACTTTGTTCTCCGTTAGTGCATAAGTAGTTTCATAGATTACAGCTTCTGGTGTCAAATTACATTTTAAGGTAAGAGTTAGGTGTATTTCCAATTTTGCACCTAAATATTTTAGATTTGTATAATTAAAATTATAATTATTTGACGTTTTTTTTTTTAAACTCACCATTTTTTAAATCATGTAATAAACGTTCTTTATCAGGTGGCGGCATATTCCATAGAGATATGGAGTTTTCATAAAATTTAATAGCGGTAACATCAACCGCGTCATAAAGCATCATAGAGTCCGATGCATAGTTGTTCAAAATTATACGGTTAGTTAACTTTTGAAAATCTGCGTTTGAAAATTGAAGGATGTCGGAATTGCTTTGAGATACATATATTGGTTCATAATGATTTATTTTTACTGCTATATCAGCCTTTCGTGGTATATTAGGCTTACCAACTGTTCCAACTAGTGCAAATAGGAACAGTGGACTCCATATCAGGGCAATGAGAATTAATATAATTGTTCCACCAATTAGGAGTTTTGAATACAAAGCTTTCGGTTCACCTCGTAGAACGGGGAAATCTGTATCCATTTGCCTATAGCAGCGTACAATAAATACCGACTGGAAAATGTCTTCCATTTTTATCCATTCCATTACTGTAAGAGTTGTGTCTATGCATACCCAGTCTAACATAGTTCGCAGAATATATAGAAATGGTATTTCCAGGTAACTAAGTAAATAGTGTGTGTGTGTGCATATATATATATATATATATATATATATATATATATATTATTAACGTACATAAAATGACCTATATTTGATCACTTGATAGAAACTTTGGAGAGTTAGGTATCTAAATATTCATTTACCAGCATAATAATTTTATTAACATTATAGGCAAATACCATTCTTATACACATCATTTTAAATATAGGCACTAAACAACTTTTTACATTGATAATTTGATTTTTAAAAAACAGTCAGGCTGCGATAGAAGAAATAAATTTAATATTCAAATGTAGTCTAACCTGGTATTTAAGTTACCGGGTTTTCGTTGTTTTTTTATTGGGGTATACGGTTATATCCACCTACGCGGAAAAAACATTTTTGTTTTGTAGGCTTGTAGAAAAAAATATAAAAAAATTCACGACGAAGATAATCGCGATATGATCCGAGGTGAGAAGAACAAACAAACAAAAGTTCGTATTTGAAAAGGAGGGCAACAGAAATAATATACAAAAATAATTTCGACGCAAAAAACTAATAAGGTATGGGAAAACACATGTTATGAAACAATGAAAAAAGATTCATTGGTAGCTTAAACTGATTTTCGCGAGGAAAACGACGAAGACGAAAGCGACGGGGATGAAAATGGCAAGCAAATAAAATCATGACGAGGCTGACAAAATCAGTGTGCGAAGTGACAAAGGTGATCAGAACCGTCTTAAATTAATTTCGCTGTAAACTTTCGAATATAGAGGTTCGATCGTTTAGTGGCGAAGACAATTTGTCCATAGAAGTGTGGGTGAAAGAGTTTGAATACATATCGCCTTTAATGTTTTGGAACGACTTTCAGAAATTCAACAGTGAGCGTGAACTGACAAGTTGGGTAAAGCCGAAAACCACCCTGTTAGCTGAATTCAAAACAGCAACAAACAGTATAAAGCTAAGGTCATGTTGGAAAGATCAGTCAGTCTCTGATCAGCATTCGTTGCGAGCAGACCCGTTTTCTATTCCGATATGACTCTTCATTCGTGTTCTGAGTGCAATGTCGCAGTTACTGCTACCAATTTCGAGCCTTCAAACCGTTACATTAATTGTCGCTCAGTCGTCGCACTTTTCATACGGTTTGTGTTGATTTCCCAGAAGACACTATAAAATTAAGACACTATAAAATGTGTAGAGTGAGCAATGATTTGCACACAAAGACTGCTTAGTTGATGGATGAAATACTACAACTAAAAAGTCTTTATCTAAATCTTCTAAATTTGAAATCGCCTCCCATGAGCCGCGTCTAGCAGCGGTTAACGTCAACGTGAACCATGAGAAAAAGTTAAAGAAACATACTAATCCAATAGCAACCACAATACATCACCAGCCCGTCCCATATTGGATCATGAGCCCATAGTTCGTTACAAGGTGGTTCATGAACGGCCTAACAAAAGTATAAGGCATTTTACTGGGTTGGCGCCTTCTTTTGACTAATTTGATGTCCTGCATTTTGACAATTTTACGGTATTTACAAAGCCGGTGACAGTTTCTAAATTATACGCAGATAAATTGAAAATTAAGGTTGACTTAATTACTTGCAATCCTTTGCCTACAAAAAATGTGGATTTAAAAACTTTGAAGTTTATCAACTTTAAATTTGGAGTTCCTGAGCAGCATTATCAATCTGTCTTCAATAATGAGTTTTGCCCGCAATCGGTTAGAGTGAGAAGCATCCTTAAGGAGAAGCACCTTGTTGACTGGACGGTTGTTCATTTTCCTGAAGGCGCAAGGGGCCACCAAAAAACACCCAGTAACCGGCGTCACTGGCAATGACGCCTCCTACTTTGGATCAAAGTTCTCTTCTTTTCGGATAACCGCTTCATTTCCAATAACAATTTCAACGATAAGGGTTTGGCCGTCTGTCTTTCGTCTTATTCCAAAGTCAGATGTCATTTATCCCAGCTTTGAAGGGATAGAACAGCTTTGTTCTCGATGCATCCTTCTTTAAACTTCGTTTCTACAAAAAAACATACGGCTTTGCTGTCTGCCATGGATGGCTTTTGTATGCAATTTAAAGCTGTGGCCCTCCCACACAGCGCTCTCTTTAGGTTGGTCTCATGTGTACCATGTGAATAGCAATGCTCTCACCGCTCTCTGTGGATCCGCGCTTTCGATTAAGCTCCCTTCGCTTCAAGCTGTTTCGTTGGTGGAGTCTCATCAACATTTAATGCTAATATCTTCCGCTCTAAACTGCAAAGAGCTTAGGCTTAGCGCGTATATTGGAATAGCGCTTTCCATCTTCGAATCGGATGCTATTTCATCCACAACAACACCAACGGAAATTAAAAGCTTTAAATTATATTTATAAAACACAGCTGGCATGAGAACTAAGACAGAGCTAAAGTCTTCCTGAACAGCGATTAGGTTGTCATAATATTGGTTGAAACCTGGCTTAACACTAACTTAAACTCGGCAGAATTTTTTGACTGAATCTTTTCGAAGTATTGATAGAGACTATAGTAGAAAGCATTGCGCAAGAGTTGGGGGCTGTTCGCCGTACTTGTTGTAATACTTGTTGTAAACTCTTCAGGGATGATTCTATTTTGGATCAGTTGGCGGTATGTATATCTAGCACGGGCGGGAAATGGTTTATTATAGCTTCTGATATACCCCCTGGAAGCGACGCTGCTTTTTATCAGGCCCACATGGATAATATCTCCCATATTAATGCCAACATGGAGGACTCCGATGGCTCATTTGTGGCGGGTGATTTTAATGTAGGCTCTGTTGTATGGACATTTGATTGGCGTTCCTCATCCGTGGTTCCTAGCAACTTACATGAAATTATGAAATCTTATGAAATTATTGTTATTTATGATTTTATAGTATTTATTTTATGATTTTTATTCCTACCAGTTTTGTTCTTAACTCCTCAATTGCTCTCGCTAAACTTACTGTTACTGAAATTGTGTTAAGTACTGCAAACTAAAATTAAATTGGAAAAATAGATTGGGTTTTCATACTACCGAATGCTTGCCTTGAAATTAACTATAACAACTCAGATCGACTTCTAACGCTATACTTCAACCAAGGTGCGACGTTCTTACAGGTACACAATAGACCTTCAGAAGTTAAAAAATATTAGAAACAAATTTTATAATAGGTTATCCAATGGGGTAATCTAGTTGATGGGGAAAGGTAAAGACAACAAAAATGCGAATTTTAGCTCCTGAATAAGTTTTTAAATAATCAGTATATCTCTGATGTTGAAAGTAGCATCAAGAGGAACCCCTACAAATTCTGGCGCTTTATTGATTCCAAAAAGAAATTTTTGTCAATACCTTCTGCTATGACATATGGCAACATTTTAGCAAACTCTGATCTTGGCATCTCTAACCTAATTGCTTCCTATTTTTATAATAACTTTGAGTCGGCTATTGCCTGGAATAACCAAAACATTTTAGACAATATTCCGGAGATCTTCAATATTGGGTCGTTAGATATTACTGCATTTTAATGATTCCTCTAAGTCCGACATTTTTTCGTCATCATTATCTAAGGGTATATTTATTCATAGATGGAAAATTTCTAAGATCATGCCGATTCACAAAAATGGTAGTAAAACTGCTGTCTCCAACTAGAGACAAATTACAAAAATCAGCAATATTACTAAGCTTTTTGAAAGGATAGTTTGTAAAAAATTATCCTTCCTGATTCATGCCTGTATCGATCCCAATCAACATGGGCTTATGCCTGGGCGCTCAACTACTACCAACCTAGCCAACTTCTCTGAGCACTGTATGCATGCCTTTGAAGCTTTTTTGTCAGGTTGATACGGTGTACACAGATTTCGTTAAAGCCTTTGACAAAGTTTGTCATTTCGCTTTGCGGGCCAAACTTTCCAAGCTTGGAAAGGTCCTTTTTAAATTGGATAACATCATATATGGTAAATACGACTTATTAAGTCGAGATTAGTGGAGTTGTTACTGACCCGTATGACGCTACTTCTGGACTTCAAGGTTTCTGTTTCATTATTATAACCGTTACTCGTAGAGTAAAAGGGTATACTAGATTAATTGAAAAGTTTGTAACATATAATATAAAGTATATATAAATTAATAAATCACTCGGTTGGTTAATAATTTGATAACTTTATTCCCCGTTCTCCCGTTAGGGCGAGGGTTTAATTCAGATTATCGAGGCTGTTAAACCCCGGAGTACAATTTTAGACTAACTTAAAGTGCTACCCATTTTCCAGGTCAGCATTCCGCTCTGACCGGGCTCCGGGCAATTGCCCTTGGAATGCGCGATCAGCAGTTCTTCCGATGCGCGTGTAAGCCATCCGATATGGTGGCCTGCAATTCAGCGGTATCTTTCCGTAAGAACCGCTTGTGCTAACTTCTCCCCCTTTCAAGTGGTCGCCGTCCGGGTGACTTGCTAGCTCCACATCAGTGCCAGTTCCCTGTTTTGTTCGCCTCCTGGCCTTCAGGTTATGGTATCCGAGCCAGAGTGCGAGTAGAGCACAGTAGGAAGGCGATGAGTACGGCGAGTGAGTTGCTGAGGAGGCAGCCTGAAGTGAGTTCCTCTCTGAGGGTCCCGATGTGGTGAAGGTTCCTCAAACTTAACTCGTGGAGAAATGAGAGACTCAGCCGGTTCTGGTGGGACGTGATGTTGACCGTGGCCATGGCCGAGACAGCGGGATTCTTCGTCGAGTTTCCCAGGTGGTTGATGAACCAGGTTCCATTGAGTGCTACTCTATCGGAATAGGTTACCAGGTGATACCTGATACCTTTTGTTCTCGTCCTTGACCGTCGGTTACGGTCATATTGGCGTCGTTTATGGTCAGCGTGCCGTGGTCAACTATGGTGATTGGATCCAAGTGACCCGGAAGCGTGGAGCAGTGCGCAATAGCTCCGAAAATTATCTGCTGGGCGCAGGTGCCGTTTTGGAGCTCCCTGCAGAAGGTCGCACCGACTGTCGTCCTGCATTGGCCGATGTTGATGTTTCGTGTCGGTC